AATATGGGAAGGCACAAGAGTGGAATAACAAGGAGAGCAAGGCGACGTGAACGATGACGATGATGATGATGACGATGATGATGATGATGATGATGATGATGATGATGATGGTGAAAACTGGTAAGTGAGACAATATAGTTTTTCTTTTGGACTTGATGTTCTAAATACGAGAGAATGCTACGAAAATTTCTTGGCGCGCTTCCACCAGTTCCACAGGTGAAATAGTGCTCGAGCATTACATAACCAAAGCGCATGCTTGCAGTAGGGTACGTGCTTTATGACTATAATGATCACGTGTTTGATTCAGTATTGACAGAGCGGGAATTTCTTTAATCATTTCATAAATTAAAACTCCACCAAACTGAACCGCAGAAAATGAGGCACTTGAGACTTGCAGCTACGTTGTAGGTGTGTTAAATTTACTACAAGCCGCTAGACTTAGTCACTCTCATCGTTGTTCATAAGACATTAGGGAGCTTAAGCAACAGCGTTTTTGAGCGACGCACGTCAACCGGAAGTGGCCTTTTTTCATTTTTTGACGGTGGTTTTGCGCAAATTTTAAGTCAAATCGCCTCTATAACAGTAAAGAAGCTAAGGAATACAAATTTTATATCATCAAGGCATGTTAAGAGGGAAAATACCTCACTTCCGGTTGACGTGCGTCGCTCAAAAACGTCGCTGCTTAAGCTCCCTATTAGGGACCTTAAGCAACGACGTCGACGACGACGGCAGTGAAAAAGTCGCTAAAAAAAGAATTTGCGTTCTTTCAAACTTAATCGCGTCTATTTGGACCCGCTCAATATGTCAAATGCAGGCGACTTTTCCTTGGAGTTGAATTCTTAAGGATTTTATTCAAGTTCAAAAAGAGGAAGGAAAATTCGTCGTCGTATGTCCACGTCCTCCGTAAAATGTCAAATTAGGAGGTTTCACGTCGTAGTCGCGCAGTGGACGTCAAAGAAATGTACTAAAAGCGTGATGCACGTGCAGAGCTGTTGTTCTGATCGTCAAAACTATTGTTTTTTGAGGTTGTTGTCGACGTCGTCATCGTAGTTGCTTAAGCTCCCTATTGTCAGGTAATTTCGTACCCAGATCTCCCACGGCCAAGGGAAAAAGGGTAAAACAGAGTGAGATCTGGGTACGAGATTAACTGTCAGGAACATAAAAAGGTCATTAGGAGACCAAGGGGGGATAATGTATCATGTTGCCTGGATGAGAATGCTTGCCTTACACGGATTAAAAGCTTAAAGTGTCAAGGTCGTTAACCAAGATGTCTAACTCCTTGATCAGTCATATAATGAAGTAATCAAAAATTACTTGCGCGTAAGTTCCTCCCAGGTCATCTACCGTTTAAACAAAAACTCTCTTCCGTTTGACGAATTTGCTTGTCAGACGTCTTAAACTCAACACGGATGACTTGTACTTTAAAAGCGCGCAAAAAGAGTACGTGAGGACCGCGCAGATTCACAACCATATTTGGGAAACCTTTGTCTTAACCTTGGCCATGGTCGTAGAACCGGAGCCAGTTAGGCACGCGTAATGTTAAATGTTTCAAGATGGCGACTTTGAAATGGAGAGAATACTCAGGATGAAGTTTATTTCAGAGGTACGAGGTGGTTCTAACTTTTGAGTCTGTGGATGAAATCCTATGGTGTGACCATTCAAATGAAAGCTACTGAGCAGTACTTTCCTGTGGTACTGTTTATTATCCTGTACAAGATGGTTCTAACTTTTGAGTCTGTAAATGTGGATTTGGTGGTTACCCCTGTGAAGTGACCAATCAGATGAAAGTTGCTGAGCAGCAATTTCCTGAGGTGTACCTAAACTCGTGCACTGATGTCGTGTTTTTGGAGTTATCGGGGCGGAGACTGTGAGAGTTAAAGCAGGTGTGATTAAGTGGATGTAGTCTAAAGAATTGCCCTCTGTAAACGGTCCGACAGATAATAGAACGCCATCAGTCGTCAAACTAAGATCACAATAAAAGCGAACTGTGAAGTCGTGCTGATAGATTTTTGGCGTTATGTAGTTAGGGTAGCAGTTAGGGTATGTGCATGTGATGTAGTATGCAGTAGATGATGCCTATAGGCCAATCGATCCCCTCGTAAATAGGTATATAATAGAAAAGCCATCGTCGATCGTTTCTCTAAGTTCACAACATTAACTAGTAAAGTTTTTGGGGGAATTTTGGACGTTGTGTGTGCGATTCGGCCACGTGATTCAGCGAGAAGTTGACTGATAAACCGAGACAGATTTAACCGACGAAAGGCTTTTAATATTTTGCGTCAAGTTACACGGATGAGTAAAATAACTCGTTGCTTCACGATCTTGTTGTACGTATGGTGTGTGTGACCGTATGATTCAGCACGCAGATGACACATAACGATGTCCACTGTAAATACGCTGGTTGGTCTAAGACCCTCAATCGTTTGAAAAGCACACTGTGTGATAAGGTCGAGCATAGTTGTCAAGCTGTCGACAAAAGCGGATTTAAAAACTTCTAAACTGGCAAGCAGGTGAAAGCCGAGTACAATGCTTTGTAAAAAGGAGTAAATTGGCTGTTTACTTTCAGGACAGGGTAACATCTGTTCTTCTTGGAGTTTGTCCGTGATGCCTCGACCAACTGTAAACATAACTTGCCAAATCTCCATAAGAAGTTATTCTTTAGAGACTATGGAACAAACATTAAGAAATGCAAACGAAAGTGAATGCCAGCGATGTTTCCGCTGCGAGAGTAGTTTGTACAAAGCACTTAAAATGGCTTTCACAAAAGGAGCCTCAATACACCCTTGCGTTTCTACTCCACAAGAGAAATCCACGAAGGATTTTGACCTAACACTAGTCAGTACTTTTGACGAGATGGCTTCTTCACCGCCAGCGTGGTTGATTTTAGTTGACACATGTTTTTGAAAAAGGCTTCACATGAAAGTTTCGAAAGAGCACACGGGTACCAGTAGATATGTAAAGGTTATAGTATGTTTCAATAAAGGTCAATTAAAGAATTTGAAGCATCTCAGCAACAGAGACGTTTTGCGCAACAGCTCTGAAAAATCTTGGTCCATAAAGATTTAACATTTTACACCGTTGTCGTTGATATAACTATCAATAACGTTTTCTGACAGTAAATTGTTAACTGGTACCGCGTTACACTTTACTTTGGTTTCCAGAATATATTCTCGCGAAAAAATGCACTCAGGAATATAAACAAGAGTTTCAGTTAACGTGATAAGCTGCTGTTTATAAAGCAAACTGAATTTTTTTCCACAGAAACCAAAAATTTCAGCGATTTCAAGACGACGATTTTAAGGAAGGGAACAAGATATAATTTTGTTGATAGGATCGTAAAGTCACACAAACACATAAAACAATAAAATAGGTCAGTTTATAATGGTTATTTAATGGTACATACGTGTCGCATTCATTATGTTATATTTTATTTTCGTTTATTAATCCCGTGTTTGCCAACTGGTTTGAGAAACTTCTGCCTGTTAAGAGACGCACAAAAATCTTTCACAGAAGACGTGCACGAATTTTCAAGCAAACAATTTTTTGTCAGTTTAGCGAAGAGATAAGCTTGTGTCGCCTGCCCACCGACATAGAAGTTGATAAGTCAATGTTGGGCGGGCTATAAGCCTTTTTATCGACCTGATCAGAGAGATGTTTAGACGGAACGTTTTAGTCACGATCAGTGTTGTTATTGCAGAAAAGCACGACGTAGCGTGCCAAAAGTTGCACGTATTAACTTGTAGGCGTGATGAATAGTATATCAGACGTTAACATGGCTATACCAATATGATAAGCCTAATATAGTGATTTTCCATAATCCGATAACTGTTAAATATAATTGTTTGTGGCATTCTGCCGTTTGTATGGTGATAGAAAGAACATTTCTTAAGAGTTTGGGTTTTACTCCTAAATGAATATCTTTCTGTTGATTTTGGCAACCTGCTCGAATATAAAGGTGTCACAAAGTTGAGGAGTTAAGAGTATTCAGTTAGATTTCAAGCGAGACTTTTGACAGCTCTTATTCATTGTAGCCAAAACTAGTTACTTTATTTCTATATAGCGATATCGTCAACGATATAATACGATTGTTATATAAACCCCATGCCCGGTCTCCGATTTGATTGGTTTTTTAAAGCCCCCGGATCATATTGCATTTTAATCGTGCGATAATTGAATTATCGCCTTAGGAGAAACTATAGAAACTCTTTCCGTGAAAATACTTGCGTAAAAGGATATTTGTTTTTGTTGATGCTGTCAAGATTGTTTGAAAAGAAAACACACCAAAGGTAACACAGAGCCACTAGGCGCGTTTGCATTTCGCTCTGTATAATGTGAAGTTAAACACTTTTATCTCCTCCATCTACATGAAAAACACACATGTAGTAATTAAAGTGACGAATTAATTAACTCCGAGGATATAATTAATACACGTGTGTGAGGCTGAGTAAATTGGTATAGCAGAATATCTAATACCTTAAATGGGTGCTAATTGACTCCTAATGGTGTCTATACCCACCACATAGGAGATATGAGACTTAAAAGTAGATTGGGTATCTGTGAAGTGGAGAAAGCAGATTTACTGTGAAGCATGTCCGGTTACAGGTCTCTGTTTTTGGGGGTGGGAGTTTAAAAAGTATGTGAAGGTGTTTTCCCGTTTTGATCTCTAAAATCTAGTATTTAAACAATACTGAGAGTACACTGGATTAGGACACTGTCCAATGTATCTATAACTAATCCGATGATTGCGGTCGAATGATATGGGACATCGAACAGGCGGAACAGTCTTGCGTGCTCTCGAGTTTTGCTTATCCCATCTGCGAACACAGATATCAATCGAGGCCCAGCCTCAAAAAGCGTTATTCAGGAAACACATCATGTCTATATGTATATGTCTCCCATTGACAAAGAAAAGCTAAGATGATAAAAATCAACAAATCAACGCTAATGGAACAGAAAATGACAGTCAACAACGCAATGTCATTTCTAGCACCCCGTGGGCCATTGGCGGCCGTCACCTAATGGACCCCTTTTGTCTTCACCATCTACCCGCGAGCCTGTAGCTTGCCATATTCCTCGTTGACTAGCTAGCGACGACAACGTTGTCGCAACACAAGCGTCGATTTGATTTTTTTTTCTTGCGAATCAAGCATGGCGTCTTTCCGTATTGAAGACATTTTGGCCCGTCCGCACGGACCGGCGTCACACAGTTCTGGTCGGTCGTCCGAAAGTGGCAGTGGAATTGGCGTATCTACTCCGATCCCGAGTTATCAACAGCTGAGCTTTGGTGTGGAACAAATATTAAGCAGGCACGACAACGAACAAAGAGAACCACGACTTCCACTGCTAGGTAAGAGATTCAAGGAAGCTAAGCAGTGCTCGAGCAACCATGAATTCTTTTGTACATGTACATAAGTCTCCATCGTTCTGCATCATGTTATTAACAAGGATATGTTTTATTTTGTACAGCTCGATGGGGCAGATATTAAGTGTATTTCTCTCATAAATGTATCATAAACGATTTAATGGATTTTGACAGAAAATGAGTGAAAATTTCACAGATTGGCACATTATGGAAAGAGTAACCAGACATGCGATGAACTTTTCACGCTTTACGATGTTATCTCTCTGAATGATACAAAAAAGGGTAAAATTAGATTGTTTATGACCGGTTTCAGCTAATCATGGAGAAACATGGCTTGTTGATAGGAACTCATATGTCGCGAAGGTAATAATCTATTTTAGAATTTTTAAGCGTTTCTGGCTAGAGATGGAATATGCTGGTACAGAACAGAGAAATCAGACACAGCTTTTACTGATCATTAAACCGTCTTGGCGACACTTTCATTTGAAAAGCGGAGCGTAATGCAGCCGTTAATTAAAGAAATACCATAGCACTGCTATTCTTTCGGGTATCCAAAACAGTTATAATGTTTTGGCCTTATCTCGTAAATATCACATCAAACCACAGGTGAACAGGCCATGGTGAAAACATTGAACGCTTTGAGTTGTTTATTCACGAATCAATTAGAGCGATTTGTCGGATATGCTTTCCAAGGTTGTTATCTAGTAGAGATCGTAGAACAGAAAAAAACAAAACAAAACAACTGTTCAAGGAGGGGGGCTGCCCTTAAAAGCTTAAAAATGTAATTTAAAATCTTAAACGTACTACAAAGGGGCTTACTAGACCGATCAAACAACGGAAATAGTAGTGTATTCATTGTATCAAAGAGATATTTGCGGAAGTTGCGCTCTTGTGCGAATAAAACTATTGGAGTGGATATCGCTCTACAGAAGAAAAGACCAGAAATTTGCTCTCGTCTTTCGTCGGCAAATAGTTCTTCTAGATTCAGTGCGCAGCTTACTAACGAATTTTTTATACCGACTTGTTATCCCTGTCAAACGGAAAGTATATTCCTCATGATTTGCTAGTCGGCACTGACAATTTTTGGAGGGAACTTTTTCAGCAAGCTGTCTTTGTGTACTTAGTTTGTGAAGGCGACGCAAGATACGAAATTACAGAGGAAAAATGACTCGGCGCTATGTAACGTTTAAAACCTAATTTACAATTTACAATTGGGTGCTAAACGTTAGGTTCAAATGGTGACGTTAAATCAGTGAAAAAGAAAAGCTAACAATAAACAGTTTAAAAAATTCGCAGTCGATCTTATATTGTAGTTTCCCATGGACTTGCTCATTGTGTACAATTTCAAAATATTCTGACATGCGAACAGATCAATTCATAGAAACTAATAAAACAAATTTATGTCACTGGTTTATTTTATTAAGTGATATGATAGCGTGAATCTCGTCTCGTGAGATTTCAAATTGACTGGTTCTTATTCATGATTACAAGGATGCTGTTTCACAAAAGAGATGAAGTAAAAACCGGAGCAATTCTATAGTCAACGAAAAAGAAATCATCGCGTTTCTCTCTAGTTTGCTTCGATGATTCTTAACCCTTTCTTCTTTCATTTTTTAAGCTTCCAAAAAGGTGCGAAAGAGTGTTCTGTAAGGATTGATCAACAAAAAGAAATGGCTGTTATTTCCAAATAGAAATAAGAGCCATTTGTTTTTGTTGAGCAGTTCTTTAGATCATCTTAAAGACATCTCTCCTGTATGCCGACGGGTTTCCTTAAGGCTTCGTCTGCAGTTCATGTTTCAGTCACTATGGCCTGACAAATCTATCAATTTCATTTGTCGATGCCTTTGAATCAAACTTCCGACGTAATTTTATTAATTTGGCAGGGCGTGAAAACCATTTACGTTGCCAATAAAGAAAAGGTAATCAAAATTGGAATCTGTAGTTAAACTTCAGAGAGTTTTTCCTTGAGTTACATTTCCGTTTTCACGCCTAAGGAAAATAACGAATGAAGGCTCTGGAAATTGAATAGTTTTGGGGTGTGGGAAAGAAAGGAAGAAAGAAGTTTAGAATTTACAGATTAAAAAAGAAGTAAAAAACATTTTCTGCGAGTTTCATTCTCACTACTGAAATTTCAACTGAAAATACGCCCAAAAGATGAATTGTTCATAACTTTATCATACGGTAAACTCCAACTGATTTCCCTGAAGTACCAACTTTCGACCATCCCTTAATGCGCTTTTCTTTGAATAAATTTTATTTCACTCACTCGCAAGCGACTCAATTGCTGAAGCAAACAGAGGCAATGTGTTGAAACATCGAAGAACTTTATATGATCTTATAAACGCTTTAATAATGTACTAACTTAGCAAGATCCATTTTAACTACGTGTATGGGGCGATGTCAGTTTGTAATAACTACAAACCTGGTTTATCGGTAAACTGATGAAATGATCGTATATTTGACATCTATTTAAGGGTGAAGCCTAGTAACTATCAATTCTCATTTTTCTTCGAGTAGGAATCAACCTTGCCGTCCTTTAATTAATGGTAGTGTGTTTAGAGCAGTTTTGTAGTTTGTATCTGTATAGAAAGTGTTTTTTGGTAAACTTTAACGCGAGGGAATAAGCCTTGAGTACGATTTTTGTCTGATGAATAGACAAAGAGTCATCTTACATCTACTGTACTAGGGCTTAAAGCTACTGTTAGTTTGAAACAGTGTCATACTTAATTAAAGGGCCAACTAACATGCCGAAATTTCTTTTAATGCAAGGCAATACTCGAAGTAAATTTAATATATGTCTTTCGCATTTGTTTTCAAAATATAGTCTCTTACCCATTGTTTTTTCTTAAGGCACACATAAGAAAGTTTGCAACTTTCAACGAGGCGACTGAGTTCTTTTCGCCAATCTTTTACTAGCTTTATTAATGCCTTGAAATAGTAGAAAGGAACACGTTTCGAGAGGTTCGTTCTCATTTTCTGTAAATCTCACTTGTTTTTAGTTCAACACTTCAAAAATACGATAGCACAAACAGAGCCGACTAGAAACAGTTTCTTTTTGAACGGGTTGTATGATAACAAACAACGCATAAACTCTGTTAAAGGTTTTACCGGGATTCAAAACACCAAAGACTAAATCCGTCTGGCGTTAAAAGAGGTTGCAAGTTTAAGTCAAAACATATCAATTTGATATCAAGAGATTTGTTTTTGAAATCTTTAAGTTCTATCGAGCATTTGTTGGCCGCCAATGACTGAGAACTATCATTATTTTAATAGGTAAAATAGATTGTTTAGCCTATATAGGCCATCTATTTATCCGCTAAACGCTAAAAATACTTGATCAGTACTTTCGATCACAAAAAAACATACGACGGGCATTAGTGGACTTGCAAACACAGCATGGGATCGTTCCAGGCAAAGGCTTTCAAAACACGAGATTTAATACCATCTTTTATTTTCCTTTCCTTCGTTAAGAAAAAAACAGCTGGTATTTCGCTCCATTCTATAAATTTATCACTTTATTATTATCGCTCTTGCGGTGACAAATAACAACTCTCAATAAAGTTGACGACAGCCGCGCGATCGCTATGTCGTGAAGGACCGAGGGATAGTCTAAAATCTCAAGCATCGTTTTTTTTTTTTTGCGCAATGGAGGAAACGAAAAATGCTCTAGATTTTTTAGGGTTGACACATTCAAGTGGTAAGAGGTTTCTGTTAGTGGTGTATTACATTTCTAACCAAACCCAAAAGCCTTATTTCTTCTAATAGCTGTCAAAGCAGTTATCAAAGCGCCACGCCCAAAATAAGTTCAAACAAAACTTGCGTACACAAATCATCCCATCCGACTTGCGAAAAATGGATTAGATGGCAATTCCTTTGTGCTGGGGAGAGAACATCACCCTGAATAAGTAGAGAAGAGAATGAAGTTCAAGTTAAATGAAATCAATGGGCGACACTCCAACAATAGCGAAACAAAAGAGTCGCCCCAATAGATTGAATCAGTTTTCTAAAATCCATTTACATGTTTGCATTGCTTTTTTTATGAATGCGATAAAAGCTGAGATGGACATCATTCGTCAACGTATCGGAAAGACAAATATTTTTACTGCATAACAAAACTATTTTCCTTTCAAAACTCACAAAGGACTATTTATAACATACATCACGAGAACTTTCTGGGTAGCGTGAGAAAGGTTCCTCGATTACATGAATATCTTATCAAACTCGTTTAGTTTTTAATTCCCTAATACCCCTTAATTTTAACTAAAGAATCCTTTTCCAGTGCATTTTTCTTTGGCCTTGCAAGAAAGACGTCATTGATGTCGAGAGAAAAGCTTTTTCGTGAATGGAGCCACACGTGTTTTTAAAAGTGCATAACACGTTTCTGGAGGACTTTTTAAAAAGATGTTGTTTTCAGTACATAGGCAGGATAATAGGGTTACTGTAAGCTTTCAGTGTAATTTGTAGTGTCTTAAAACAGTTATTCACAAATCTCTATTAAACTTCTTGTGGTAATTCTTTTTACATTTGATATTTTCTTCAATAAAAATAAGCCACCCGCAAGATAATTAGTACAGTTCAATTAGACAATAATGCTATAATCAGCCATTCATATCTGGCAAATCTTTCACACATCATGTCTATTTTCTTTAAATTAGAGGAGGGCCGAAAATTCAAGGAGCCAGTATAAAGCAATGTATCATCAACAACTTCATTTGCACTACTAATTGAGCAAAAGAACACGATTAATTAAGGGGATGATTCCAATTTCTTTGTTACCATCAACAACAATAGCATTCTTTTGCTAGCTTTCCTTGTTTTCCTTCTTGCTTATTGTAATGTAAGGTTAACATTGGCAGCTGGGGGACTATAGATGTTATCGAGGGTGAGTTATTTTTTCAAATTTCTCCCACCCACGAAGGGAAAGTGGACTCGGCAATACGTCATGAAATGTTTTCATAATGAGATAAGCACGGTAATGCCGGCCTGAAGATGCGGTCAATATCAGCAATATCTTGATATTTCAAAAACAACAAGTGAAAGAAAGTAACTTTGTCTGTTGTTTTTTCGATCATGCTCCAACGACGGAAATTAAACGAGAGGCGATTAACCTCACAAAGTGCCACCTCGCTAGTTGGTGTGTATTAAAGAAGGAAGATTTTGCTTCACGGTAAACAAGTGAAAAATAGCTTTTCACCTGCATTACAGTGTTTGCTTCCCACAGGAATTACTCATTCACACCCACTGAGTCAACTAAAGAGATATAAAAGGCAGCCCTTACTTTTTGACTAGCCTGTGGCTTAAATCCTAAAGATTGACCATTCAAATAAAAAGCTACTGAGCAGTACTTTCCTGTGGTACTGTTTATTATGCTATACAAGGTGGTTCTAACTTTTGAGTCTGTGGATGAAATCCTATGGTGTGACCATTCAAATGAAAGCTACTGAGCAATAGTTTCCTGTGGTACTGTTTATTATGCTATACAAGGTGGTTCTAACTTTTGACTCTGTGGATGAAATCCTATAGTGTGACCATTCAAATGAAAGCTACTGAGCAGTACTTTCCTGTGGTAGTGACACCCTCTGTAACAGACCCAGTGCAATCTAACTCTTCACTGGGTTCTCGGAGTAAAGGTCTCTGGGTTGGTCTATTTTCCACTTGTTTTTTTCGTCTTAGTTGTGTACTTCCCATAAAAGCAGAAAGGGTGGCAGGCCTTACATATTTAGTGACATAAAAACTTTGAACATCTTTAACATGTTGCTGTAGCGAGAAGAACTAAAAAATTTACACTTTTTTTTATGCGAGACAGATTACCTTTACCCTCGGTATTTTGTTTTTGTCAGATGGTAATAATGTTTCGTATTTTTGTTTCTTTTAAACAAACATGACCAACGAAATACTCCTGTCTTGTAGAAAAAAGTCGTGATAGAAAGTGCCCGGGGAAGCAAAAAATCAGCTGGGTAGAAACAAACTATTCGCCGAGTATCGGAGAGGCTAAATTATCACGGGTAGACTGAATTTAAACCACTGGGTAGGGTTTCACTGGGTCTTTTACAGAGCGGTGTGTACTGTTTATTATGTTGTACAAGGTGGCTCTAAGTCTTGAGTCTGTGGATAAAATCCTATGGTGTGACCATTCAAATGAAAGCTACTGAGCAGTACTTTCCTTTCGTACTGTTTATTATGCTGTACAAGGTGCTTCTAACTTTTGAGTCTGTGGATGAATTCCTTTGATGTTACTGCTCACATGAAACCTCTTCGACAGAGCTTTTCAGCAATTCTTGCTTGGCATTGTACAAACAAAAAATCAAATTTTCCTTTCACTGTAAATTGGGGTTGAAAAGGTTGATGCAAAGGTTGCCCTCAAAAATCATCACTTCAAAATTGAAAACATGAAGTTTGTCAGTACCAAAACATGCAGGCTCAAACGGATATCCCTTTCTCGGCCCCCTTGATGATCAACAGTGTCATGCCCCGTGAAAGCGAATTTGGATTCCGAAAATTGGGAAATTGTTGCTCGTGGAATCCGGAATCGGAATCCTAGGCTTAAGAATCCGGAAAACAACTCAAGAAATTCGAATCCCAAAACGATTGGAATCCGGAATCCAAGTTCCACTGACAAAGACTGGAATCCAGTACGTGGAATCCGGAATCCCCGGCTTGGAGTCTACAATCCAAGACTGTCTTGGATTCCCTCACATGGGGCGAGGTGTCGCAACAGTATGAAAAAGCTAAGAAATACACCATGATATCTAAGAACTTTCGCCGAGTATTCAAAAGTGTTTCTGTTTTGTGTTAATATTTCGTGTAATAAAACTAAATCTCGTGAGAAATCTTTGATAAATAATTGACTGAAGAACATTGTGCTTTAGATAGCTAAGGGGTCTTTTATGTCTGACTTACATAGGTAGCCACAGTTTTGATTCCTTGGAAGCCTAAGCTTATAACGAAGATGAAATCATTTTGATGGTAGCTTCTATTCTGTGGTACTTTCTTTTACAAGCATAGCATAAAACGTCGACTTTAAAATTTGAATGAAAGTTTCCTGTAGTAATTTTTGCAGTACTGTACAAGATCTGAGGTAGTATGGAATGTCACACACGTCTCCAACCCCTTACCCGTGGGGGAAGGAGGGGGGGGGAAAGGGGGATCATCGCTTAAGGGGGCAACTTTTCTCTCATATAAAATCTCGTTCAAGTTGAATCTGCTGGGAGGGTTAATCTCCTTCCCGGGACAACTTTTCTGCAGAAACGCGGCTTTGCTCGTCCCTAGTCTCTCTCCTTTGTCTCTTAAGATTCAATATTATTGAGGGAAGCGCGTGGAAGATGCGACCGGGGAAAGATGAGCAGCAACTTTCCCTTGATACTGTTTCCCTATTGTTCTACAGAAAATGCTAAAATCTATCTTTAAGAAAAAACTGTTCCGAGTAACCGCTTATTGACTGAGAGGTCGTGCCTTTAACTCTTAACATCATCTCGTATCCCCCATGTGCCACTCCCACGGCAGATGTAGGCTTATCTACTTGCCTGAATGAAAAAACAACAAAAACAACAAAATCTGAATGCTAAACGTATGCATTGCTTACATGATAGCCTTGCACTCAGGGCCGAGTTGTTTGAAGGCCGATTAGCGCTAACCTGGGGTTAAATTTTAATCCGCATTTTATTTTCTTTAGTTCAAAAGCATTTTCTGGGATAATTTTCTGGATTCTTTTTAGAGCATCCAATCATCAAATTGTACACAAAATGAATTAAACTTCATGTGCTTTTCAAACCTTCATATTTGAATCCAAATTTAGAACTAAACCCTGGGTTGTCTTAACCCAGGGAGAGCCCGGCTCAGGGCCCAATTGTTTGAAGGCCGATCAGCACTAACCTGGGGTTAAGTTTTAACCTGGGTCTCCTTTTCTTTTCATCAAAAACATTTTCTCGGACAATTTTTACTATTCTATTTATATTACAGCATCCAATCATCAAATTGTAGACAAAAGGAATTAAACTGAATTAACTTTTTAAGCTTTCAGTTCATATCTGAATTCAAATTTCGCACCAACTCTGGGTTATCGTAACCCAGGTTGAAGAACCCGGCCCAGGAATATAATTTCCAAGAAACGCACAATGAGGACAAAAAGGGAAATACTGCGTTCTTGGACCAGATACATACCAGTGAGCATTTATCCGGTTAAGGTCTGATTGTCTTCATTGATATTTTGTTTAGGGGCATATTCAGTGGTTCCTAACACATGTGATCATCTTCACGCGACATATTGGACTTCACCGTACTTCACTGCACACCACCAACCATTCCTGTGCGGATCTTTACTTCATCCTACTTGTGACACGTGTCACACCCACAGTCCTTACTCATACAGCTCGATATCGGGTAAGATATGGCATTTATTAACTGTAAAGTAGATAAACCTAGTCAATAGGGGATGAAGGTCCCGTCTCTTGACCAAGTACAACTCATGCCCGCATTTTTATGCGTATAAAATCAGTTCAGAACCAAACAAAACGGAGTTTAAACAACCACGACCACAAGTAAATCGCCCAAAAAGCAATTGGTTTATGAGCAAAACAACGGCCCTGCACGTGCATCCCGCTTTTTAGTACATTTCGTTGACGTCCACTGCACCACTACGATTTGAAACCTCCTAACGCGACGTTTTATGGAGGACGTGCACATACGACGAAAAATTTCCCTTTCTCTCTTTGAACCTCGATATTTAAGAATTCAACTCCAGGAAAATTGCTTACATTTGACAAATTGAAAGGTTCCAAATAGACGCGATGAAGTTTGAAAAACTTAAATTCATTTTTTAAAGCGACGTTTTCACTGCCGCTGTAGTGGTCGTTGCTTATGCTCCACACACACAGTTCCTATTCGTTCTTATGTGGCTGCAATTCGGGTCTATTACTATCACGCTTGTCACAAAGCAAGGTAGATCAAGGACAGCAACATTGTTAGATGTTACGTCACCTTGATGTCACCTCCTTAATCAATAATAGGCTATTGTCCCACTCACATCAAAGCTTAAACATGTTTTAAAACTGTTTACTTTAACTCGTATCAAATTTTTTTGTTAAAAAAGTTGTTTACTGTACTTTGATTGATAGCAAATTTAGTGTAATTATCTAACATGTTAAAATTCAGTTGAATTCTGTGTAAAAACCTGTGTTTAAGTTTTCCAGTTACTGTTGTTCATTTTTTATACCAAGTTTAATTAAACATGTTTAGCTGGTGTGAATGGGGCTTGTTTTGCACTTATAGATGGAAACGAGGATGAAGTTGACCTTGTTTTGGCACTACCCTTCCTGCTTCCTTGAAATTATGTTGTTCTTATGCTAAACAATAGTTTTCAAGCATAATTTCGGCAAGAAAACAAAGGAGGTTTATATGAAAACAAGTTCAATCTCAGCCTCACATTCACTCGACGGCTAGGTTTTCTAAAACCTCAACTGTAAAATTCTTTAATAAGAGCACGCACGCATTGTTGGGCAAACACCGTTCCGCTCTGGCTCTTGTGACCTTTAGCTATTACTACATCACTCACTCCTTGTAACTATTGGAGTGGACATATCAAAAGTTTGATATATTTTTCTCGGCAAGAGAATAACATCTAATTTACAATCCACTGTTAATTCTATAGGAATTTATGGAGACTACAGTGCCACAGTTCTCAATAAAACTATACCGGGTCAAGTCTTACCCGGCCAACCAAAACCGAGAAAGCCAAGGAGGCCCTGGACACGAGCAGTGTTTTCAAATCTACAGAGGAAGGGCCTAGAAAAACGGTTCCAGCTTCAGAAATATTTAACAAAAGCTGATCGCCACCAGCTGGCGTCCATGCTGGGGTTATCTGACAACCAAGTTAAAGTATGGTTTCAAAACAGGCGAATGAAATGGAGGCAAGATGCTAGAGAAACAGTAGCCTCTGGTAGCTCTGAAGAAACCACCGAAAGACAAGAGCAGTAGTTGTTTGCAAATTTAACGTCACCTAGTCACGATTGACCGGTGTAATGCTTATAGAAACGAGCGTCATGCTCAAAACGGCCATTAAAGGAGTACTGTACTGTAAATACCGATGAATGCCAGATAAGCTTTCGCGTTCACACGTGAAAAGATCACTGTTGTTGTGGTTATAATATATCGCAGCAAAAATACACTTAAGTGTTGGTGTTTCATTGGTGTTTATATAATAAACATTTCACTCGTTCTCTGCGAGTAATTTCGTATCTCCGAGCGGCCATGTAAGATCCTCTATGTATTGTATCGAATTGTATAAAGAGGTATACTAGTCTTAAGTAGGGGTTCGCAGTTTTCGAACTGTAAACGCAAAACTTCAGCCTGAGGAAACAGTCGACATTTTGCGAGGCCACCACTGGTTTCCCCGCGAAATTCCATACTAATGACGTGTCACAACCCAGATGTGGGTAGTACTTCTGATTGCTGCAACCAATCGGAAATACCACCCAGATCTGCGTAGTGACCCGTCATCGGTACGGAATTTCCGCTCTCGTTTTTCAAACGCCATTTCGCGGGAAACCATCGGTGGCGTGAGGAAATGTGGGCTGTTTTCTCAGGCGAGCAAAACTTTACTATTTTAGTCGTTCCAGTTCATTTCATATTGGGACCAACTTTCATTTTGGGACTACCACCTTCGTTCTTCTCAAGAGCGGTACGATCTCAACAGCAGTCAAAAGTCTCCGTCATTTTCCTTTTAGAAAATATCACTTATTATCCTTTTAATGGTGATTTCTTTTATTCACCATCAAGTGGGAAAAAAAGACAAGAATATATAAAATAGTCAATTAATGTAAAAATCTTTTAATTTATTCTCAAAATTATGGGCTTCTTTTAGTTGAAAACGATTCTCCTCGAGCAAACATATGCTCATAAATGGCACCGGCGATTCTGCAGATTTAAATTTCAAACACTAGATTGGAAACGTGATGTTTCCACGTGATTGGAAACATTTCAAAAAGTTATTAATTAAAATTAACATTGTATTGGTAATCCATGCAACTATGAACAGTGGAAGAACCAACCTTAACTGTGAAGCATTTTGCTCAGCTTGTGCAAATATCTCAAGGTCAAATCATCGCGCCTCTTTGGGCGCTCTGAGAAAAACTATTCGTTTTTACATCGTCAATTTGTTTGAGAGGTTAAACGAACACTCGACACTTTGTTTCGCTTCTCACAATCACATCAAAAGTTCCACATTTTCCACGCCCGTTGTGGTTGTTTGACTTTTTGATGAAACACTTCCTCTTGTGTTTAATCTGTTACCTGAACGCGTTCAAAGTTATCATTGGCGAATTGTAATAACTATTTGCTTTTATAAAGCGTTTTCACTCTGTAGTTTTCTAGACTGTTGTAGTTTGGTGCCCGAATAGCAGAATGTAAACTAAACCGTTATTTTGTACAGAAAAATTATTGTAGAATGTGAACTTGACGCATGGCAAATCACTAGAGAGAGTCGCCCTTGGCAATTATTGACGTTTAAAGTAATAAATAATTTTGGGTCTTGTCGAGATAGAATGATAGGAGAGAGAGAAAAACGCCCCGTCTACCCCTTGGGATAGAGTAGGGGGATCCAGGGGAGGCAGGGGCCCAGGGGGTCCGACCACTTATTTTTAGACCAAACTGAGCCCCGAAGGGCGAAAAATTTTTTTTTTTGGAGACCGGGCTCCCCCCGCTTATCTCAAGGTCTGGATCCGGCACTGGGATACCGTATTTATTCGAATAAGCGCCCAACCTCGAATTAGCGCCCACCTCGAATAAGCGCCCATCCTAAAGGTAGAAAAAGTTAATAAGCGCCCAGCCTCGAATAAGCGGCCACCCCACCCCACCCCACCCCCCAAAAATTGAATAAGTACTAATAAGAGACTTCCCCGAAGACTGAGTTTTCTTCAAAGTATTTTATAGGAACCTTGCTTTGTTACATCTTCGCGTTTTGTCATTACCATTTATTGTTTTGTTGCAAAATAAACATACTACACTTGCTGAAAATACTGGAAATTTAATAAGCACCCAGCCTCGAATAAGCGCCCACCTCGAATAAGCGCCCACTCTCACGGTCCAAAAATTTAATAAGCGCCCAGGGCGGTTAATCAAATAAATACGGTATGCTAATTTCATCCAAGGTTATTTTTAGACCAATTAAACGATTGGTATTAATCGGTAGTTTCGAGGTTTCCGGAGAAGTCGGCAAACCTTTATTCAATGTTCCAAGAGAGAGAGAGAGAGAGAGAGAGAGAATAAGGGGATGTTATGCTCTCTTGGTGAGTCGCCATTAAAATAGTCTGAATTGTTTGCATTGAGGAAGTCGTGCCTGGACTTCATGACGTTTCAAACAATCAACTAAAACGTGCGGACATCCCAGGAGTTAGACTTCCGTTTAAGTACAATCTTAGGGAAATTCACATATCCCGCCCTCCGCCCGAAGATTTCCTCTCTGTTCCATATATTCTCTCTTCGTCCAGTGTAACTGGAGAACTAGCGATTTAGAAAGTGCTTGGTTGTGTAACCCCAGTACGATATTACTCTAACAAACAAATGCGTAAAACTAAGTTTTCGGCCCTGAGTGAATCCAAAACCTGTGTGCTAATTCTTCGTGCAGTTAAATTATTAGGTGATGTGTCACCCCGTAGAGCTCAGTATACGCGTAAAATATGTTATATGCTACCGAGGGGTAAAAAATAACGTATAAATCTTTCACTTGTGGAGGGTAAAATTGTATGGTGCTCTAAATTTTAAATCCTGTGGTATTTAATGTATATTTTGCTATACGAGGTGGATCTACCTCTTGATTCTGTGGCTGAAATCCTTAAATATTACAATTCCTTTATCTTACTCACTTTATTTAACCCTGAATGTTTTCCCAACCTTTTTACTGCTTCGATTGGTCACTGAATACTTCATTTATTTGTCTCTATTGCTGTTTGTATATTACATAAGAAAATTATGGTGCAGAGCTTTTGTTTGGCGAGTTAAAAGGTTTCGTCAGCGTGATCGTTCTAAACTGTGGACAAGTTACCAAGTCAATCAAGTCAGGTTTTTTAAATAACGGTTAACTTATTGGGTCAAACCTTATTTGAGTCGTGCCCATGTGCCCAGAAATTTTTAAGCCGGAGTTGTGACTGTGATCATCTTCGTGAAGGCTTTTGGGAAGAATTAGGCCTTATGGGTTAACTTTTCAGACTGGAGATTGAGTCTCGTCACTGAAAAGAAAAGAGCCTATAAGTCTGTAAGTCTGTACTGCATAATTATAGTTGCAAAATAACATTTGGAAGTTGTCATTATTTTGAATAAAAGCGTAAACTGAATGATACATTTCTGTAACTTTCCCATTGTGGAATGTGTCACAACAAAAAAAAGACACGCGTCGCGTTTTTTTTGTTTTCAAGGGTCGGCACGAGTGGCGGCTCCATCACGCATTGTGGCGGAAAGGAAATTGTAAATATACGTCATATTTTAAGCTTAAGGACCATCTTTCCGTGATGCAATTTATATCATTCTCAAAGAGAACCGATTTGGCGGTGTTTTCTTGTTATTTACCTGTAAATGAACAGTTGTTTATAAGCTCATGCATGCAAGGTGAGGTTATTGCTTTTCTCCGGTTTTGCTAGGCTCCTAACTGCGCAACGCATGCCCGCTGCGCAAAAAGATCAGATGACTCCGCAAAAGGGCAAACCTATTGAAGCCAAAGTGCTTTAACCATAGTTGGTGTATAAGCAGATTAAATGTAAGAGTTGAGCTCTTCATTCTCTGTCCTATTGTAGTTTGCAAATGAGTTTGATGAGAAACTTTGTCAATTGTTTTTGAGAGTTTGCGACCAAAATCCTACGGTGTAACCGTTCAAATGAAACCTCTTTGGCCTTACTTTTGCGAGGTACTATTTATTAATCAAGATTCTACAAACTGAAAGTGGGATTTTGTGAGAATTTTTCCTTTAATTTGCGCATCACAAGGGGGAAAGAGTCAATAAATTGTTAGACTGAAAATGACGACCGGGTTTTAGCAGGTGTTTTGGTGTCATGCGCTCAACTTCTTCAAACTTTCGCCGCTTCGTATAAACGTTCTCCTCTTCATCATTTTCAAATTTCAACCGATCATTGTGTCATTGACCATGAGAACAGTGGTTGATTAATTACAAGACAAATTGCAGAAGTCAAAATTTCTCAACCAAAAAAATTTTTGCCAGTCTAAAGAGGTTCAAAAAGAAACGGTAGGGTCGGAGGGGGGAAGGATGAATGTTATTATCAAAGAAACTGTTTTCACTTAGAAAACTATCTGTTTCTCGTGCGATTCATTGTTGAACAAGTTTTTATTTGCCCATTAACATTTTTGTCCTCTTAATCTTTTCAGCAATAAAAAAAATACTGATTGCAATTTTTAAATAAGTAAAGAAATAAAATCATTATCTACCCTTCGATATAGGTTATTTACTCCTTGTAAAATGAGTGATAAGAGAAGTTATTTTACTGTTTTAAGAAATATTGGTAGATAAACGTACAAAAAACCATTTGAATTCATACATTTGCATTTCTGATTTTGAAATATTAAAAAGGTAACTTGAAGTCCATTACTTTAGCGAATAAAAACTGACAATCGGCCACGGAGTTGTAAAAAAAGAGATAATTAAAATAGAAAACGGTAATTGAAAAAATGCTTTGTTTAATATAGACATATTCTTTTGAGCTTATATCTGTTTTAAAAGAAAGGTGAGTAATCCACAACAGACGACCGTAGAGCTTGTGTTTTAGCTTATTTTACCGACAACAATAATAAAAATAGCATACTTTGCCGGCTGGTAATTCTTTACAGCAATTCTTTGTTTCAGAGAATTAAACTTTTTTTCTCAGGTTTAACGCAAGAAGGGATGGTCATTCAAACAGTACTAAGCTATTATGATGAATTGACATTTGGGTCATTCTCAAATACTCTTTTAATAACGAGTCACGCCTTCGTGGCTCTGCAACTCGGAACGAGCTTTTATTTCCGAAAATTAACAATTTCACAAGCATTTCCTATTCTCTTAGCTCCTGTGAAGCATTTCAAAGTTGCCGCAACAATTCATTACCAGCTTAATTAATAAGATAGAAGCTAGAGGTTTCTCTTCTTGGGCGACGGATGAGTTTGGTTCGATTAATGAGACGTACTGCTTTGTTTGCATATGATCTGACCGCGCTTCAAAACCTATATTTAAGATTGCAAACAACGCTTTATAAATATTCCTTTATTTGCGCCCGCTATACATGGCGGAATTGTTTTCATATCGCTTTGTTCTGGAACAATTACAAGAACACATTTTCAGTTTGCGGTAACAAAACTATCATTCAAATCATAGAAAAAAGAAAATTACTTAAACTAAAGTTAAACTTTTCTCCATTCTGTCCATTGCTTTTCATGCCATGGACGAAAAGAAAAACTTCTTAAGTCAAAAACAGGATGTGGAGAAATTAGCGCTTGCTTATTTTATTCGGATATTCTTTAAGTGATTCGCTACATAATAAGCTCTTAACTTAACACCGGTATTCATGTCAAAGGCAAGTACCATAAGAAAGTGATGAGTATATTGATTTGGACATCAAAGAAACTTGCCGCCTTTGTAAGTTTTTTTATATTCGCCAGGTTGACCAATAATTCTTTCGTATGACATTTTCAGAAGACTGATATCTTGAAAAGTGTTGACATCCTTGATATTCTGTTACTTTCCAGCAGACAGTCCCGCTTATCAAGTTTATGAACGGATCGATTGCTTCCTTGTGAGGTGAGTTTTTCACTTTCAAAAGTCGAACCGAGTTTTCTTCCCTGACTTTAGCGCAAATTAAACTTTAAATGTTGAAGAATTTAATCGAAAATATGTTTATCGCATAGAATCAAGAGCACCACTCGACAGCGTCAAGTTCATAAGGCGCTTAAAAGGGTTCTCCGTGACCCTTGTTAGATTCAGTGAGTTTATAAGCACAAAAGAGAAGATCTATGATTCATCGCTTTTGTTCAAAAACAATAACAACACCTATTACGAACATTTTGGCTACAAGCGGTTCATGGATGAGTTAAATATAGCATATAGCTGCGCAAGTAGAATGGCTTAAAAATAAACTTATTCATTATAGAATAAGTTCCCTTTTAAGTTAACACGAGCGTGCTTTCGAAAATCATTGCAATCTTGTTGGGACCCTGACAAAATTCTTGTTGCGTTAAATCGTTTCACTTTTGGATTAGCGATAACCAGTAAAGCGTAGATTTGGATATGTCCGATTTTAGTCGCATTGCTAGCTAACATTGCGCATTTTACAGCCCTTTGTTTGCCTTTAAGATTCATGACAATTTATTAAAAGGGTCAATATTTAACTCCAGAGAGCGCCAGATCATTTTTGTTACTATTTCGTAGTGTACACAGAATGCGAAAATATTTGCGCTGTGATCAGGAAACCTTAGCAAATACAGCGTCAAACTCTGCTATGGCAAATATTTTCTCATCCATTAAAGGTTTTTTGATAAGCGTGATTAGTTGAGTCAAATCTAAATTAACTCTGGTCGTACGTGGTTTCGAACTGTACATGTGGAGGTACCGGGTTTGA